GTTTCTCTCGATCCCGCCCCCGGCGCCGAAGTTCCTTTCGTCAAAATATCCCCCGACGCTGAAGTCATTGTTGCGCCAAAGGTCCGGGCCAAGACAGCACACTCCCTGGGAGAGAATCGTAGTGTGGCAAGCACCTCCAAGTCCAAGCGCAGCGGCGCAAGTACAGTCCGGCGGCGTAGTGCGCGGGAAGATCGCAAGCCTGCCCTCTGTTTACGCGGTATCGCCCATTCGGCTTGCCGGGAGTGGTTCGACGAGGACCTGACTACCCAAGATTTCAGCGTTTGGGTAGACCGCGACATTCTGTACACCAAGGATTTCCGAGGTGTGAACTATGTTTCGGTCAACATTCTGCGACCTACACCACAAGCAAGTTCCACCCAGAAACCACAAGATGCTGAACAATCAGCAAGCACATCGAAAGTAGCTACAAAGGTTGTCGCACATCTACGCGCTTGGGACGATCCACCCGACAGCAAGACCATTGCCCTCTCTCCAGCATTGTGTGCAACATTGGGCTTTACAGGATCCGTTGGAGGGATTGTCAAGGTCGAGCCGGCGCCGCAACAATGGCCGCTGGATGCTGTTACAAAGTTGATAGTCCAACCGTTTGCCGCTTCCAAAAAATCTTCAGATGGATTGAAGTTCGGTGGCGAGTCCAAGGCTGGCAAAGAGGAGGCGGCCAAGCAATTTAGGCATCTGTACGCTCGCAAAGATGCTGCCCCTCTCATCACCGGACCTTTGACAGACGGATCAGTAATTGGCCTTTTCGAGGGCCTCGAGGCTCCTCAAGGTTGGGAAGGAGGAGTAATCAAGTTCGATCCGCCAGCTATCAACAGCGATCCGCTTAGATCATCAACAAGATGGGTCTTGGGCCTCAGCGAGAAAATTCCGGTCGATATTCGAGACCCGGTTCCCCGACCGTCGTGGATGAACGACGATAGTATCGCTGAGTTACAGCCGTCCTATGACGGGCAGCTAGTAGGCATTGATAAGCTCCTTCAAGACCTTCGAAGCCACCTTTCACACCTTTCCTCGACTCTCCTGACCGGTGCTATGGGTTCTGGCAAGACTGCAGTTGCCAGGTCTTTAGCGCAGGAGCTTGGCAAAGATCTTTTATTCCATACGACTTACTTCCCATGCCGGAAGCTCGTTAATGACGAGACTCGAATTGCTACCATCAAGGATACCTTGACCCAAGTATTTATGTCAGCCAGCTGGGGTGCTAGGCTTGGGGGCAAGGCACTCGTAGTTTTGGACGACCTCGACAAGCTGTGCCCTGTGGAAACCGAATTGCAAGTTGGCAACGACAACGGACGGAGCCGCCAGATTAGCGAAATCATTGGTTCCATGGTACGCCAATACTGCAACGTGGATACTGGAGTGGTCCTGTTGGCTGTTGCGGAGGGTAAAGATTCCTTGAACAGTGTCATCATTGGGGGTCATGTCGTCCGCGAGATTGTTGATTTGAAGGCGCCGAACAAGGAAGCGAGACGAAAGGTCATGGAAAGCATTGTCAGAAGAGACGCGATTTCCGCTGAAGACTTTCCAAGGCCACCGCAGAATGGCAGCCGGCCACCCACAGCTGACGGAAGCGCCGGAGGGGAGGACAGCGCATGGATGGATGCCGGCAGCCAAGGCAGCCGCGAGAACCAAAATGGCACCAGTGGAGGATTCGTCATCAGTCCCGACTTGGATTTCTTGGATGTTGCTGGCCTCATTGATGGCTATATGCCAGGAGACATCACCCTACTTGTGGCAAGAGCACGGAACGAAGCCATTATCCGGTCTGTCAACGATACGGACGGTGAGGGAGGTGCGGTACATCTGAGTCGCGTCGACTTTGACAATGCTCTCAAGGGGTTCACGCCCGCCTCGCTGAGAAATGTCTCTCTACAACACTCAACCACCACTTTCAGCTCCATCGGCGGTTTGCAAGAAACTCGTAAGGTTCTCCTGGAGACTTTGCAGTACCCAACAAAGTACGCCCCAATCTTTGAGCAGTGTCCCCTGCGATTACGGTCAGGCCTGCTGTTGTATGGATACCCAGGTTGTGGCAAGACCTTGCTTGCAAGCGCCGTTGCTGGAGAATGCGGCCTGAACTTCATCAGCGTCAAGGGACCTGAGATCCTCAACAAGTACATTGGAGCGTCTGAAAAGAGTGTCCGCGATCTCTTTGAACGCGCGTCAGCTGCGAAGCCATGTGTTCTGTTCTTTGATGAGTTTGACTCTATAGCCCCAAAGCGTGGCCATGACTCTACTGGTGTCACAGACAGAGTAGTGAACCAGCTTCTTACGCAGATGGACGGAGCGGAAGGTCTTTCCGGTGTCTACGTGCTGGCAGCAACATCTAGGCCAGACTTGATCGACCCTGCTCTACTTCGCCCTGGACGCCTGGACAAATCTTTGCTCTGCGACATGCCGCTATTGGAAGACAGAGTGGACATTTTGAAGTCCCTTAGCAGCAAGGTCAAGCTCGGCGAGGAATTGACAGAGTCCGACGACGCTTGGACTGATCTCGCACGTAGGACCGATGGCTTTTCCGGTGCTGATCTCCAGGCTCTTGTGTCCAACTCCCAGCTAGAGGCGATCCACGATGTTCTGGATGATGTCAGTCATGCCCCAACAACGAACGGCAAGGTCAATGGCAAGTCGTCTTCCCAAGGCTCTGTCCCCAGCTTCGTACAGTTCCGCTACGGCCAAGACGCTGCACCTGCCGCGAAGCCGATCAGCCGGCAGAAAGAGCTTGTTGAAAATGCCGCAATCCTCGCCAAGTTGGAGAGCATCAAACTTGCCCGTAAGAGGGTCAAGCAATCTCAACGCCCAGAAGGGGATGGCAAGCCGGTCAACGACAAGGAGGTCGTGGTTAAGCTGGAGCACTTGATGAAGGCCCTGGAAAACACCAGATCAAGTATCAGCACGCAGGAGCGGGCCAGACTGCAGAGAATCTATCGGGAATTTGTCGTTGGTCGAAGTGGTGAGATGAAGGATGGCCAGGGAAGCATGGAAATTGGCGGGCGAAGCAGTTTGATGTGAGATGTCAAGAAAGCCATATTACCGTACAATTGAAAGTACACCTCTCAAAACTAGACACTGTTCACATATGAATCTATCCGCGCAACATATCCACGTCTGCCGTCTACCGCGAGTTGCTCCTGTGCATTACTTACGGACAATTCATCTTTCTTACAGTCGCTCCTCTTTGAAACCTAATCATGCCGTCTTTCCTTGCAGAATCTTCTTATGGAAATCCTTCCAATTCGTCTCACACTGCGACTTGACAACCCCAGCCAAAAGCCTTGAGCACCGAATCTCAACAACCTCCTCCAGCTCTAACGCGCCCTCACCCTCGGCGCCCTCGGCATCCTTTACGCGCCAGCGCGTCTCGAGCAGCACGTTGAGCGGACAGCTCGTACGCACGAAGCTGCCGTCTTTTGTGAACGTAAAGTCGTAGTCGCTGACGGCGTCGCCGCTCCAGATGGCCTTGGGCAGCATCGAGGGCACGCTGTCGGTGACGGAGAAGCACTGCGTCGCGGCGATGGGGTCAATGTCCTTTGGGACGGTGGGCGGGATGGCGGGCGTGCGGGCCGCGTAGTCTTTCATGTTGGGGTCGCATTTGATGTGGTGCTCCGCGTCGTGGATGAGGGCTAGGGCGCCTTCGCGGGAGAGGGTTGAGGGGATGGGCGAGATGTGTGTTACGGTTACTGTGGTGTTCAACATCTTTGCAAGGTGGTTGTGTTTGGTGATGGAGTTTTGATGCCGTGGAGTGTTGTTGACTAAATGAGTGTGCAGTCTACAATGTCTTGAAATTTATGTTTAGATACGAGGCGATGAAATGTGTTATTTCAGAATGAAATTGAAGTCTGAGTATGAGATAAGATCTGCAGTGTGAGAAAGGAACCCGCAGCTGAAATGATAAAGTATATGCCCCAAACAAAGAAACTCAAATTCGAAGACGATGATGCCGCCCTTCCGAGCTTGCCCTTATGCGTCAAAGTGAGAGGCCGCTCTCTAGGAGCTGCATGTGATACAGTTGATGTATCAGACGAAGCCTCCCTTTTGCGTCCCACGGACCCGAATACGGGCATTTGGAGAACAGGTGCCCACTGCATGATGGAGTGTTTCCTTTACTGAATCCAGGGTTTTTTGGTCTCCCCCATTGTTTTCTTAGGCCAGTCATGGATCCAGCGCTCGTGAGGGTGATTCCCCGCAGACCCGGTAGATCCGGAATCAGTGAGCGAGGACAAAGGATTATGAGCCCAGCGACTCGGGTGGAAGAAGCTTGTTTCAACCTCAGTGGAATGCCATTCCCAAAGTTCATGTGCACATCAATACAGCCGGCCCTCAAGTGGCGCAAATGGTCGTGACTACGATCGGTGTTTCTCCAAGTGTATTGGGCATTATGGGGCTCGGCGGAGCTGCGTAAGGTAGTCCCACGCGGGATGAACCAGTGGGTCTCGGACCCGGATGCGGATGCGGATACGGGGAGTATAGTAGATTCCTTCGTCGAGTGAACTCCGGCATGCTATTCCATCGCCGTGATACGATTACCGATGAGCCCTTCTATAAGATTATGTCATGTTTTCTTTTCTTGCCTTTCCGAGTGTCTGGAATGACGAGATGCACAAGGCTTTCGGGCCCTTTGCCTGGCCTTACCATTGGACCGCGGTTTGGTTGGCCTCCTGCAGAATCTTGGAAAAAGGGAGGGACGCAACTGTTGCTGATTCGCTTGTGTCATATCAGAACGCCTCACCTCATACATCTTGGTATGCAGCATACATGGCAAGGAAGTTGCTAAGGTGACTTGCTGCACGCGCTGAGTTTGGATACAATTGTTCGCTCATACAAGAAGCCTCGGGTGCCTGCCGTAGGCGCAAGGCTCGGCATCATGGCTATCACAATACCAACACTTTGTAGTCACAATGTGCTCGTCAAAACCCGGTCGTTAAGTGTGTTTTCCTTGTCCCCTTACAACCATTTCAGAACAAATACTTTAAGCCACGATGGATAGGTCTGGCGAAGGTGGCGCTGCGGCAGTTGCTTGCGCCGAGAACATATCACTATTGCATCTTTTGAGCAAGCGTCATCACTACCCCCAGCTCAATCAGCCATCATCGAACCCTATTGAAGAAAAGGAGAGAACGCTGCAGTTCAGTAGAGAGCGAAGTTTATGCGGCGCCTTTGCGTTCCTGGCCAGCATCGATGGAAATCCGGACTTCGTTCCGGCTGTCTACATTGAAGAACGAACTGAACAACGCCGTTTGGAAATTGTGGTGGCCGTAAACAAAAAGAGCCCGAACAATGGTCAAGAAATTTTGCTGGATATCAAGCATGGATTCGAACAGATTTTCCAGCAATTAAAGGGTCTTGACGGCAAGTATTGAAGTTATCCTTCTCAGGTGCTGGGGAGACATGAGCTTACTCGATGCTGAATAGATCCCAAGGAATCAAGATCCAAAGTTGAGGATGGGGTCTTCGAAGAGGTTGTAAGGATGTGCTACAATCGGATTCTCAAACGCATTCGCGAAGAGCCCGCAGCACGAGTTGGGAGATCGCAAGGACGCCCAACGCAAAAACGACAGTCAATTGAGACGTTGCTCAAAACGCTCAGCACATACTTTACTCAGCCGAGCAACAGCATGGCACAGTCACAAGAGCTCGTGACAAGATCTCGCGATATAACAAAGTCACTCGGAAGATGGAGAAGATACCAAGATCCTTCTGAGCTGAAGTGCTTGGTGGAAGATATATTCCAGCTCTCACGAGTCGACCACTTTGAACAGCTCGTCCGCATGGTCCCTCACACGAAAATGGACCCATGCTCGAAAACGAGCCTGTGTAATATGATCTCCAAGATTGCGCGGTACAGAGAGGTCTCTCGACATGTATACCGGACTGCAAAGAAGTACCCAATTGCTAGGTCCGCGGACGTGGTGACGGTCAACCTCACGAGCTTTGCGCAAGGAGCTTACGAACGGATGGGAGCATATGAAAGGTACCCAAAACTCACCACAGCTCTGTCAAGGAATGGAATCACGAAAGGCCCCGATCGAGTCCTCAGGGATGCCTGGTCACAAGAAAACCATCAGGATGTCAACGTTGTATTCGAAAAGCAGGCCAAGGATGTCCTGAAGAACGCAAAGGTCCACGCTGAAGTTCAGCTGATATACCACTATCATCTCAAGAGCCGCCATTCAGACCTTCCTCCCAGAGTCATTCGATCCAGCAAAGACGCATGCTACCTCTGCAACGCTTTTATTGAAGCTGAAAAGACATTTTACACGTCCCGCTGCCATGGGAGGTTATACCCGTCATGGAAAATACCGCAAGTCACTAGCCGCCTCGACCTTGCTCAGAGGTTTAATGAGTTACTGAAAGGTAGAATAAGCAGTGCTTATAGCAATTTGGCTGGCTTCAAGGCCAATTGCCCAAAGGCAGATCCGGCGGAGAGCACGCTTTCGACATTGAATTGGTCGGTCTCGACTGAGGTAGACGAGCCATCAGTACCGACTGTTCCAAGTGAAATAGAAGTCGTCATTGTGACTACTCAGAAAGAAACAGAGAATCAAGAAATGTCTCAAGATATCGAAGCACAAAACTATTCTGTTGAAAACAAGAATATGATTCAAGAGGAGTCGCAGGAAGGGAATCAGGACGGCCAACAGGAGTCAACATCAGTGATGAACGTACCCGACACTGAAGGGATTGCAAACAAAGGAAGTCAAGCAGACGAACCAGTAGAAATCAGCATACATGTTGAACATGAAGAAGAAGAAGAGAGACCAACTCCACAGGTACAGGCCGCCGAAGACAGCAAAGCCACGACTGTAGTTGGCCAAGATGATGAAGCTCGAAGCACAGAGGCCTCCCCGAGACGAAGGAACGCCTCACCAGTCCAAGAAGACCGTACTCCACGCATAAGTCCTGCTATTCGAATATCCGATAGCACCAGAATTCAGTCTCAAATTCCCGATCGGCGAAGTGAGCCCAAGAGAAAGCAACGTCCAATTCGGATTAGAACATCATATGCTGTTATCAGAAAAACGTACCGTCCTGAGGAAAGAACTCCATCCACCAAACCCCCAGTGTACAATATTGAGAAGACAACTGTGTACTCCAATGACGGCAAGATCGGAAGCAAAAAGCGGACGTTTCCACTAGCTCGGGAAGGTGACACGATCTTGCAGGAGCGAATGCTTCCTGCCAGAATTAGGATTATGATGAACATCTTGGCCAATGTATGATGAGCACGGTGATACCTCATTTTTTTTTTTTCAATTGCAATTTTCATTTGAGTTGAGACTATCTGCGTTGGCCTGCGTTGAACGGCTCAAGCAGTCCTTAGCCAAGGACTCTTGGCCTACACACTGAGCAAAGTTTGATTCCCAGAGAACAAAAGTCGGGCCATATCCATCCCCTCATTACCATGGCCAAACGAGCTGCATATGAAACAGCAAAGGTTCTCAAAAAACAAATCCAGTACGCATTCCCGTTCCCTCCCACGACAAAATCGTCCGAATACTCCAACATGTTACAAGTGAGACGAGTTCAACTCTTATAAAGGGCGGAGTTGGTTCATGTGAACCTTGACAACCTTCTCGGTGGTGAACAGCGCCACGGCACCATCAGGGCCGTCCTGCTGAGGCGCGATTGCCTTGGCCTTCCCCTTCGAGTCGACTCCATTATCAGAAAAGAACATGTCCGCAACAGGTGCCTGGCTCTCAGGCTGGCGACCGAGGGTCACATTGGGGTGTTCAGCTACGCCAGAGATCTCGGAGGTGTCAAGACCCGTGAGACTCTGCTCGTGAATCCAGCCCTGAGAGTTCGGGATGATGAACTTCTGGTGAATGACCTGGGTCTCCACCACTGCCTGGTACTTCTGCTGCGCAATCCAAGCCTCGAGGTCGTAGAGCATGTAGTAGCGAGCTTGCTGCTGGATCATCGCATACATGGCATAGTCGAAGCCGTTGCGCGCATCCCAGAAGAGTGGATACATGCCGGTGCGAAGGAAGCGCAGAATGTGAGCAAAGAGATCTCCATCGTTGTCGAAGTGGAAGACGCCATCGCGGTACCAATCGCGGAAGTTGATGGAGAAGATATATTTGAACCAGGGGCTTCTCTCGAGAACATCCATAGAGCTGACGAAGCGGCGGCCACCAATCTCCAACTTGATCTGGCCTCTATAAAGAGGTGGCATGCCGAATCCAGCGGGGACAGTAGGAATTTCGGGGAAGTCACGGCCGACGAAGTTCTGGTTGGCACCCGGGGGCGAAGGCATAGTGCCTCGAGTGGTTCTAGTGAAGAGAGTGCGAGCAGGCGCAGCACCCGTGCCGAAGTTCACGTTGGTGCTGGATTCGCCATTGGAGTGGAGCTTGTTACCCACTTCGAAGTCGGTGACGGCGCGGGCTGCGGGCGCGTCAGAATACTGGCTTCCATCCGTGGACGTGGTGCTTCCGGCGATGCTCGGACCATAGGGGTTAACTCGGGGGTCATCTGAGAGAATCTCGGGATACTGGCGGGACCAAAGCGGGTTGGTGTAGTAGCCGGGATCTTTCTGAGGCTGGAAGAGGGTGGGCTTGCCGTTCTTGACCCAGATCTTGGGCTCAGCACTCTTGTCCCAGACTGTAGGCGAGAGAATAGAATTTGAGGCCGCTTTCATGCCTCCAGTACCAGACTTGATGGTCTTGTCCGAATCGTCCGAAACTCCGATCTCATTGTCGCTATCGCCAGACTTGATGGAAGAGCCCGCGGCGAAGCGGACCTTCTTCTCACCTGGAGACTTATCGGAGACGTAAGTCTTCAGCGCGCTGAGAAGGGGATTAGGAGGAGGGGCCACTGCAGCAGGAGTGAAAGCCGTAGCTTCGAGCTTTCTAGCAATCTCCTCGTCGGTGTCGGTGATCTTGATCGCAGGACCGGGCTCTGTGTAAGAAGAGAGAGCGCAGTCATGATTGGCATGAGAGTTGCCCTTGAGCTTGCTCTGACTGTGCTTGTTCTGAGGTTCACTATTGTGGATGGTAGGGCCGGAGTATGTAGACGATGGCAGCAAAGGAGCCTCCTGATCATGGCGCTGGTTATGCTCGGCAAGCTGAGTAGAAGAAGGCGCCTGAGTGCTTGGCTTCGCAACAGCACTGTTCTTCTTCTCCGGGGATGGATTGTAAGAAAAAGCAGAGAGGAGCACAGCGTCAGCAGAGTCCCTGTCGACAATCTTGAAAGAGCTGGAAGCTCTCTTGTGGCGATGGATAGGCAACTTAGTCATGCGACTCGGAGACGGGTTCGAAATTGCTTCGTCGATAGTCAGTTTAGGACAAGGCTTCACTTCGAGGGTCTTACCTCGGATCTGATTCTTATTGGCGAAATCGATGGTGTCAATCTTGTCCGCCGAAGCCGCGGCGCCAGACTCATGCGCATCCTTGTCTTCGGTAGTCACAGAACGAGTCGTAACAATGGTGACGACAGAGTCGCGAGTACCATTCTCCTTGGGAGCATCCTCGAGGTTAGCGGCAGAGTTCTGAAGATGATTTTCATTCTCACGTCGGTTGCTTGCGGTGGCCTTGGTAGGCGTGGCTTCGTCATGGGGGGCGGTCTTGTCGTCAGCGGCATCGTCAACCCGCTCGGGGCTGTGGCCAAACAGCGCAGAGAGACGGTCTCTACGGCTCTTCTTGCGACCGGAAGAGTCAGAGGAGGTAATTTGTTTGCCAGACAACTTTTTCTTCGACATCGTGGTTGCGAACGCGGGCTTGGGAGCTAGGGGAGGATTTCCAATCTTGACTGGGATGGAGCAAGTCTGCTAGAAGTCAAAACAATGTACGAAAAAGGAAGAAGAAGGAAGGAGAGATATGATTGTTGCCACTGACCTCGAAAATCTCCCTCGAGTAACGCGGGTCCGGCATGTGCTGCTGCTGGAACGCTGGAGTGGCAGAGTGAGGATGGACATCATCTGCCGCCGAGGCATCGCATCGCCAAGGCGACACACTGGTGCTTACATTCACCACCATCACTGCTGGAGTGGGCGGTATCCGTGAGTCGAGTGTGAAAGAAAGCTCGTACAAGGATTCAGTCCCAAATCAAGGAAGTAGTAATGCGAAATCGAGTAGTGGCGTCTGTGATGTCTGTGATGGCCACGACAATCGCAAAATAGCCTCGAATCTAAACAATGGTCAATGGAACCCTTTGACGAAGGGTTTGAATGGAAGATGAGTATCTGGGGAGTCTCGTCTCTTACCTCGAACAGGAAAATATGATTCATTTGTGTTAGGAACACAGATACCAACGATAACGATGAGAAGACTACTCCTGCGGATGAGAGGCTTGCAACCAGCTTCGTGTTTTCGAGGAAAGAATGAAAGGCTACGAACTTGGACTGAGGTGCGATGAGAAGGGATGAGTGAAGCGAAAAGAAAGAAGGGCAGCAAGCCTTGCAGGAAATATTCCTGTGGACAGAGCGATGTTATTGACGGGGGAAGGTGCGGCAAGTCTGGGTCGCTCTTGCCCCCGAAACTTTACTTCCCGTGGCACCTGCCTTTGCTACACTTGCTCCTTCCCACCGGATATTCTTATGCTAGATACGTATTCGGCTTATAAGATGGAATAGGAGAGAAGACTCATTGTCCTCATCCAGTGCGCTCCTCTACCTAGCAGCCACCCACCTGATTCAAGGTCAGATGGTATGGTACCTACCTATGTTGGTGTTGCCTCTCGATGTCGATAGATCACTGGAATACCGTCATCGTATTCGTAGACTCACATCAACTCAGAACCTATTCTCATCACCAAATGTAGAGATGCCCGCCACATCATGTAGCCGAGATCGACCATGGCAATGGAGGGAGCATATGCGTTTAAGTTACATTACTCCGTAAAAACCATCGAACTGCCCTTCACTACGTAAGGTATCATTTCTGGCATTAGTCAACTGTCTAAGAGGTATTCACGATTCGTTGGGTGCGCAGCTGCAGTGATCATTGTAAGTCTTCAGTGAATGCCATCTTCGTTCGCGATAGCCTCATGGTCTGGTCCTTTTGGATCACGACTAGCATGTTTACGCCCGGTGTTGGGGGCTCTACCAAAAAAATCAACGACACCTGGATGTCACTGACAAGAAATGACTATCAGGAAGACCTAGAACAGCTACACGCAAACATTGTCTCGGCAGACACTCCAGCCGGTATATCAAGCATTGTGATTTCTCGTGATCCTGAACGACAGACCGTCCCGTAGAATTGGGTGATGATCTCGCGAGTCGCAACTAAGGTACATCGATACTGTCCGTTGTGACGTTCAGTGCCCCACACAGCTTCTCCAGATTTTTTTCTTCCAGAACGCATTCGGAGTAGGGGGGTTGGCATTAACAATCCAGGGGGCGTGTACGTAAGCCGCATAGTCTCGGTGTAGATAGAGGGGTCCTCCAAAAAATTATTTTGCATTTCCATCGATCGCAACTTTTCGCAGTCGCAGTCCAGCCATACCGCACACAACCATGGCACCCTCCTCAACACCCAGTCAAGCCGAGCTGGACCGGCGGAGGGTAAGTCAATTCGATTCACATTGTCCTCGAGGTGCGATTCTCCCATACTGACCACTACTTGCAGATAGTCGGTATCAATAAGGAAACTGTCACTGATGTGACTTCGACCGACTACCCGGGCACCTACGCCGGCGAGGACCACGCCTGGGACCTCGACCGTTTCGCCTCCAACCTCCGCGTCCAGTTCCACCACAATGCCCAGCACGAAGCCTCCTTCTCCCTCATCGGCGTCGACGCCTCGATCGCAAACGCCTTCCGCCGCACCCTCATCGCCGAGATCCCTACCATCGCCATCGAGAACGTCTACATTGAGAACAACACCTCGGTGATCCAGGACGAGGTCCTCGCCCACCGCCTCGGTCTCATCCCTTTCACCGGAAACCCCGAGGGCCTGCACAAGTTCCTAAAGTGGTACCGCAAGCCCGAGCAGGGCGGCAAGGGCTCCTTCGACTACAACACCGTCCAGCTGCGCCTGCGCATCGAGTGCACCCGCAACCCGGATGCCGCCCCCGGCGAGACGGACCCGGCAAAGGCCTTCCACCACGCGAGCGTCTACGCAAAGGACATTGAGTTCGTCCCCACCGGCCGCCAGGTCGAGTTCTTCTCCGGCGAGGACGCCATCCGCCCCGTCAACCCCGACATCCTCATCGCCAAGCTGCGGCCCGGCCAGTGCATCGAGCTCGACATGCACATGCACAAGGGTATCGGCTCCGACCACGCCAAATTCTCCCCCGTCGCTACCGCTTCGTACCGTCTCATGCCCACCATCACCATCACGCGGCCAATCCTCGGCCAGGACGCGGACAAGTTTGCTAAGTGCTTCCCCCAAGGCGTCATTGGCTTCGAAAAGGTCACAAAGAAGGAGGCCGCCGTTGCCGGCAGCGGATACGAGGGTCACGAGGGCGAGAAGAAGGCTGTGGTCAAGGACGCCATGAGAGATACAGTCAGTCGTGAGTGCTTGCGCCACCCCGAATTCGAGGGCAAGGTCAAGCTGGGCCGGGTGCGTGATCACTTTATCTTCTCCATTGAGAGCACAGGACAGTGGGACAGCGACGAATTGTTTTTGGAGTCGGTTAAGCAGTTCAAGACGAGGTGTATCCGTCTTGAGCAGCAGGTCATCAACATGGTTAGATGAAGCATCACTGCACATGTACCATACTTATAGATATCCCGTGTTTCTGGTTTTGCAAGGGCTGGCTGGCAATGGAAAGAAAGAAAAAAGTTCATAATGACACTCGGTTTTATTTGCTACATTCGTCTAGTTGCTTCTTTTGGTGCGAGTACACCTGATATGCCATGCCTTTTGACATTCCCAAAGACACCGTCCATGCTATTATCATCATCATCCCACGTAAATGCTGAGTATCTATCTATGCGGCCTTCTTGAACCGCAGGTAGAAGTTGAATTCCAGAGGGAAAGCAGGATCCGTGACAATAACATTTTGCCCATCTTCCAGCTCGAGCTCCTTGATGGTCTTTCCAAGGTTGGCCCGTGTTTTCTCCTCCAGGCTGGGCGGAAACTGCATGTACAAGGTCTTATTGGCGGCTCTGAATGAAGGCTTTTTCAATTGTGCCTCGGGACGGATGACAAACGAGTCCACCAGGTCTTGGAGTGTGCTGTCAGGGTCGACCTCGAGCGGCCGCGATTCCTGTCCACAGACGGGGCAGTCGTCTTTCTTCTCGTGCTTGAAGGTGTAGGTGTAGATGCTGTCATTTCCAGAATACATCATATAGTTTTCCTCCATTCCAAGCGTTGGCGCGGCCGAGCTGGCGAGCTTAAAGGCTTCATTGCAGCATGCTGCCGCAATGATGGCGTTTGTGGATGCGATGGCGGGAATGATGTTCTTGATGACTCCCTGGGTCAGGGCGTAAGTGACGCCTGTAATATTGAACTCTTGGGCACGTGTAAGAGCCTTTTGGTACAGCCAGGACACATGGGTAGTGTCGTCCTTGTCCAGCTTTGGAAACGGCTTCTCCTGATCCCAGGCGATGACGTGTGCCCACTCAATGCAGTGCTCTGGTTGTCGGGGGATTGAGGCGATTGTGCAGAGAGGAACAGCGGCTCTCGGTGCGTGCATGTCCAGTTGGCATTCGATACAAGATGTAATCGAAGGTACGATGACTCGAGCCTGACCCTTAAAACCCTCTGTGCCCCCATCTATCATGGGAATCAATGAATCCGGGTCCTCGCCTTCTTCAGCAATCTGTACGAGGGTCGCGTTGATCCACCTGCGGGCCTCGATGCTGTCCAATCCACATATGACGAACTGGAATTGTTTGTAGAAGTCTTGACCAAAATCTTGAATGGCGCAGTTATGGGCTGTAATGTTGACACCCTTGACACGACGCATGACGAACTGAGCCGCGACTTCAGCCTTGTACTTGCCGACGTCGGACTTTCTGAAGAGGAATTGCCGATTTAGGTTCGAGATGTCGATAGTATCTGGCCAAGCAAATGTCAGATCTTGAGTAGAGCGGCGAGACAGGGTACGGCTTACCCATGTCAATGACATGAATATCCTTGAACTTCGACATCGCCAAGTTCTTTAAAATCTCACATCCAAGACCTCCGGCGCCACTTGTATAATGTCAGTCGTAGTTATCGTGTTCGAGTAGGGGATCACCAACATTACCCTACACGATGTGTTAGTAGACAGCACCGACTCATTGGATCATGCAATACCATACAGGACCTTGATCTTGTCAAACTGTTCAAAAGCCTCCTCCGTTCCGGCCACATCAGGGTCGCTGAAGGGTCCTGGGGTCTTGCGAATGTTGTCGAGATAGGTCCTGTACCATGCTATGGTCAGCGATTGAGTGCGACAACTGACGACTTGTAGCATGAGAGGCGAACCATCTCTTTGACTCATCGACTTGATGTGCCGCTACCGGGAAAGGTGCTTCGGTAGCCATCGTGAGGAGCGCTCGAATCGGATTGACTTGTAGGTGATGTTCGGTGTGATCACTTTGTTGTTTGTTCCTTGGGTTCTCAACCAGGGTGAGCTTCGGGAGGTGGAGGGGCCGACATGACGATACCTACCTATATAGGGCCAGGTGAGCCTACCTACCTTACCTTATGTCCGTGCCTGATAAGGCTTATCAGCAGGATTGTTATCGATAAGATGCCTGCCTAAATGGAAACCTAGGAACCTACCGACCTTGGGGCCTTCTATGGGTGTGTCTACAGTACAGTGGGGTGTGGAAAGACAACCCCACCGGCCCTTAACTCTTTGGGCTTGGGTGTCTGTCCATCCATTCGTAGAGACAGTTGGGGGACATATTATTCCTAACGAACAGAACTCCCATCTGATATTGCAATCACAACTCAGAGCAATCAGCGAAAATTATTTCGACACTATTCTGGATTTTCGGCCTTTGAGGTGACAGTTTGAGAAAGCCCTTTTCGTTTTCTCACGGTACCATGCAAGGACCGTAGTCCACCACCAGAAAAGGGATTATCAAGCATGGACGACTTCTTTACCCCGGTCAGCACTACCTACCTCAAGGCAAGGCCAAACGAACCATTCTTGGAAGAAGCAGCCACAAGCAACAAGCCTCAACCACCAAAATCTGCTGCTGCCGAAACTCTTTCTGTAGAGAATGCTCTAGAGACTCTGAAGAACCAGCCAGGTTATGACAATCTGATTGGGGTCCTCAAGTCCCTCACTGATGGCAGTGTTGCTGCAACGGGATTCAGGCTTGCGACGCCCAGTCCCGAGGCTGCGCAAATTATTCAGTGCCTCGTCTCAGAGATTGTTCCCAACTACTGGCCTTTGCTCAAAGAAGATGTTTCTGGAGGATCTGGTATACAAGATGTCGATAGCCCCAAAGACGTCGAGTTGCTGCTTAGATGCTTGAGGAGTGTTACAGGTCTCAACGCCATCATCACCCGTATGAAGGCCTTGATCCAAGAGTCCAAGGCGAGCTCCAAGGATGTAAAGCGCCCAGATTTGAGCCTGAACCTGAACGTACTACTCGAGGTCAGCTCAGCAGTATTGGGTGGGGACGACTACCTTGCTGCACTATGGGCGTCGAGCAGCGCTGGGCTAGAGTCTACGGCGAGAAGACGGCCGATGGCGAATGAGTTCATCGCACTGATAGCCGGTGGACGCCTTATTTCAGTTGCAGCCGAGGCAGATGCCATTGCCAACCCGGACAAAATCAACAAGAAGCAACTTTGGATCGCAGACGGGCAACAATACAGCAGGTGGCTGGGTCGAAGTATCGGAGCGTGGGCGAAGGGTGGCAACTCGTCTGACGATGCGAAGCTATGTGCAGAGGCTTTCATACGATCACTTCGCCTGGGTTATTCTGGCAAGTACACCATCCTCTACGCCATCCCTTCTATAGCTTGAGGAATGTCACTAACAGATTTGTAGATGCCCTGATGAACCAATTTATCAGCGAACTTCTGTTAGGCCCTGAGGAAAGCCAAAACGCCTTCTTCAAGCTCTTTGGCCAATTCTCTCAACTGGAGCAGAAGCGGGTTCTCTTTGCTGTTCTCAAGCACTTGTCGGAGACATTTCTCAATAAGCTGGGCGATGTCGAACCTCTGAAGCCGAACTCGGTTATATCCGCTGCGACTGGCATCATCGAGAAGATAGTGTCTAACGAAGAAAGCCGAAAGGCACATTTAATCTCTTGGTTGACCAGCTCAACTGGTGCCGGCCTGGGAGATGGCATAGGTATCAGGCGCGCAGCCATAGCAGCGCTTGCACAGGACAGAGAATGCGTCACTCAGGTATTTGAGAAGAGCCTTCACCAGTTCGGCGATCAGCTATACATTAAGCACTCTCCCATCATGCAGCAGCAAGGTTCGACTCTCTCACCTTTGTCACTCTCTAGCACTTACTGACTATGACAAAGCCCATGCACAAGTTCTTCTCCTTAGCGCTAGTTATGTCAACAAGCTCTCACCCCTGAAGCTTAAGATGCTCATGCGATCTTCAAGCTACCTCAACACCGTGTCCAACCGGATCGGCGCCTCACAAGAGAGGGCTAGATTCTTGGGTATGGCAGTGGGCGAGGCCCTCTCGAGTCTGATCGACGGTGGTGACAAGAAACTGGACTTCAAAATGGAGGAAATGGCAACAGACGAGGCACAGTTCTACAAGGATCTCGTCAGAACGCTGGATAGTACAGGGCCTATCGATCAGTTGATCACCACCCCTGAGGTGGAGCAGAAGAGACAGCCACAACCGCCGGGACCCTCCCGCCGGAACCCAGCACCAAAACCCAAGCAACCAGCCGCGCCCTCAAAGTTCATCATACAAGAAGTCTCAGACTCCGAAAGCGAGGACGAGGACCTCATACCCTACGCCAAGCCCTCCGACGATGCAGAAGACTCAGACGAAGATGCCACGCTCGTCCGCCGCGACAAGCCAAGAGCTCCAGTCTACGTCCGCGATCTCATAACCTACCTCCGCGACACTGACAACTACGACAAGCAAAAACTGGCCCTCACCACAGCCCCGCCCCTGATCCGTCGCAAAGCGAACTTTGGCACAGAGGTCTCCTCCCATGCAGACGAGCTCGCCACGCTTCTCGTCGGCCTCCAGGACAAGTTCGAGATTGAAAACTTCAATGACCTCCGTCTTCAGGGTATGATAGCCATCGTCGCAGCACAGCCACAGAAGATGGGCCAATGGTTCGCAAAGACCTTCTTTGACGGCGACTACTCCATCTCGCAGCGTGCCGCGGTTCTCATCGTTCTCGGCCTCAGCGCGCGCGAGCTCGCCGGCTTCGACATCTCGGAATACTCTGCCGCCGCCTCGTTCCCCTCCAAACGCCTCCCGGAGAAGATGGAAGCGCTCTACCTCGACCCGTCCACCGCCCAAGCCCGCCTCGCCTCCTCGTCGAACCTTAAGGCCATTCCCGCCAACGCCCTCGACACCATCGCCGATTCTTTGACGTCTTCCTTCCTCGCCCCCATAGCCGCCAACGCAGCAGACGCAACAACGGGACCAGACGTCCTCAAGCTCTCGACCTTCACCTCCCGCCTGCCTTTAAAGTCCACCAAGAAACCCGGCATCCGTTCCATCCCCAACACAACGGCCTCCCTGCTCGCCACCTCATTCTTCTTCCCTTTGACGGCCCGCTTCCAACACGCCCTACGCTCCCACTCGGCACGCTCCGGTATCTTCATCCAGCCGTACCTCCTCTCCCTCTACCTAAAGACACTGGCCGTGCTCGTCCACGCCGCGGGACCCGCGACGCTGGCCCTCCCGCAGATGACGGCCGAGCTTTGGGATCTTCTGCTGGGTGTCCGCGCCCACGTCAACGGCGACGTACCCGGAACCCACGCGCTGCTGGTCGCGCTGGCGGCCATGCTCGAGGTCAATGAGGCGTCTGACATGCGGCGCTTGTGCGAGGCGCATCCGCGGGAGGTGGTCGAGACGCAGGAGTGGGTCAGCGGTGTCTTCAACGGCACGCGCGGTGACGATGGCGGGGAGGAGAATAATGTGAAGATGCTCTCTGCCGCGGTGCTCATCAAGCTGCAGGAGGCAACGGAGAAGTATCGGGCCCTGCTGCTGGGCGACATGATAGGGTTCTCATAGAGTACGATAGGGCAGGGAGATACACTCTCAAAAGGAATGGATGTCATTTTAAAAACGATATCTGACATGGGCCCTTCTCGTTCGAAGCAAACATTGCCCATGCCAACCTAGCATCCAACTTAGAGTAGTCATACATGTCCCTCGTCAACAATCCATACCCCTCTAACGCCGATGCTCCGTGAATACATAAGCAGGTCCTTTCCGTATTTTCATGCTGCTTTCCATGTATACAAGACAAAGCCAAACGTACCAAACCCATCAAGTGGATTCACCCATCAGGTCCTGTAGGTCCTGTCTTCCGCCCTTACGGACAGGTAGCGTTGACAGGTACTGGTTTGCGTGACTTAGATGCTCACCCAAACTCATCGCCATTCTCCTCAACTCTTCCTTCACAGCGTCTGCACTAGCTGAGCCTTGCATGACCTCAACAGACGGCGGCGCTGGTGGAGGAGGCAGCGGGATAGTGCCACTGTCCCGGTTCCCTACCGAGCGTGGGATACCCGGGGGCAGGGCTGGCTGGGCGGCCTGCTGTGGAGTCAGATATTCGGGATCAGAGTAGTCGGCACTGTTGACGCTGTTGAATGAGCGATGTGTGTTAAGTCGCAACCCGCCCTGGCCATTGGGCCGAACGGTAGCACCGGGTTCGGCTAGGTTGAGGTCGACGAGGCTTAGTTGATCATCGTCTTTGGGAGCGCGCGAGGAGAAGTCCGAGTCATCCGAAACATAGATTGACGGTTCTCGGTTCGATGATGGTACATATAGAGATGGTTCTCTATTCGATACTGGGACGTAGATGGAAGGTTCCCGGTTTGATGTGGGCACGTAAAGGGAGGCATGACGCTCCAGGTCGAAGGGGTTCGCCATTCCCATCTCTGAACCGCTGACAGATGCGACGTCCGAGTTTGCTGTTGAAGGACGAGTGAGCTCCGGCATGGGATCGGCCAAGCCCATGTCGAGGTCGATCAAGCTGCCGGTAGATACACGGTTATTCTGGTTACTGGGAGGCGGAACCATAAGTTCATCCAGATCTATCAAGCTCCCCGTGGACTCTCTGTTGTTCATCTGTGAGCCAGGCCGGGGAACCATTAAGTCGCCGCCATAGTTGGGAGCGGGGACAGGATCGGTCTGATGGTGGAACATTTGTGGGCGAGACGCAGAACTTGGTCCCGAATGGTCATCCCACGATGGCCTATCTTCGTGGAAGGGGCGATCTTCGTTAAAGGGAAACCTCGACATTTCCGGGTTTGCGGAAGCCGGAGGTGCCATGGAAGGGAACTTCCAGTCCTGCGTCCTTCTATTCGGATTCAGATCTGCAGGGTCACTCGATGGTGCTTTGCTGAAGTCTGGCTCGTCGCCCATATGATAATCGACAGACACGCGCGGTGCGCCGGCTCTGATGGTGTTCATATCCACAAAGTTGGATAGATCACCACCGTGCAGTGAAGCGTCGAGATCGATGAGTGATTCTCTCACTGCTGTTGACTGGAGCGAGTCGTCTCGCAGTGGAAGATCTGAAGTTGGCGGAGGGATCGGTCTGCCATAGTAGGCTCGAGAGTTGTCTTCGTAATTGGAAATAGTGTTTGGGTCAAACACCTTTTCTAAGGGAGCTTTCATGGCAGCAAGTTGTTGTGGTGGCGGTCTCCGCCGCGATTTCGGCTTGGATCGAGACATGTCATCCAGAAGCATAGGGTCGAATTCCACGTTTGAGCCATACACATCGTAGACTGCCTGAGCGTCCGTATTTTGGAAGACTTGTTGGTCGAATGCCATCGTTGTGCTAAAGTTCCATTCGTCGTTGGCCATCGCAGTGGATGAAAAGTCGGACTCATCCATGCCGGACATGCCCTGGGCTCCTCCCGGAGCAAAGAGTGATTTACGGCTGCCACCTTGTGACTCCCAAAGCTTGAATCCTCTGACTAGTAATGCCAGTGATGCTGCTGGGTATTCTTGGGCCGAGTTGGCGATGTAAGGGTGGTTCTGTACCTCTTCGATTGTTGGTCGCTTCGTCGGATCCTCTTCTAAGCAGTAGGCAACTAGGTGCTTTAGTCGGTCGGAGTACTGATCGCCCTCCAATCGAGGCGTGTGTGCCTTGATGTAATTTCCAAGCTGATAAACGTCGACACCAGCCATGACGTTTGGTGGCAAGCCGGAGGCAATCTCAAAAACCATGGAGCCGAATGCCCAGATATCCACCTCTGTTCCATAGGATGTTGACTGATCGAAAAGTTCCGGGGCCATCCAGTGAGGGGTTCCGATGAAGGTTGATCGTTTATCGAATTTCGTCTCAATAACACCTGCCACTCCGAAATCGCAAAGTTGCACTCCACCAGCCTCGGTGACCAGAACATTGGCGCACTTGATGTCGCGATGAATGATGCCTTGCCGATGAACCCAGAAGACAGCTTCAGAGACCTCTCTGAGGATTGGAATAATCCACTTCTCTTGCAGGCCACCGGGAGCGGTCGGCTTCATGAGTGTAGCCACACTTCCTCCGGCGCAGTACTCCGTGATCATCCACATAGATTGGCCGACAGGCAATGCGTCGATGACATGATTGATGTTCCTTGCGCCGCTGTCGCTTAGAAGCTTCAGCGCATTAACTTCAGCCAAAAATTCCTTGAAGGTGTCTGCAAGCTTCGGGTTGACGGTGTCGCTTTCTTCAATGTCGATGATTTTGACCGCCACAAGCATACTGGTGTTGATGTCGGTTGCTTTATAGACACGACCAAAACTTCCCTTGCCAATCAATTCATTGAGAAGATATGGCGGCTTGTCCTGTCCTGCTTTGGCCACCTCATCGTCCACAGCAGCTTGCATCTTTTTCGCATCTTCTAGGGCCTTCTGCTTCGTCACCGAGAAGTCGGGGCCTCTGACTTGGAGTGACATCTTGGGTGAGTTGTGACCGTTAAGGACGGCCTGAAAAGCTGCGTGTCTCTTCCTCAAGTCGATAAAAACAAAAATTGCAATCAAGCAGCGGTCGAAGAGAAACAGATCAGTCCCCTGTGCATTCAATGCTTAAATTGCCGATTAGGGCCAGATGTTATGAGAAGTTGCAGTATTCATCGAGGTTGGGTTGTACGCATACTGCAATCTGATACGTCCAAGTTCGGGTCAAACACAGGGGGTGAGGTTGCGAGCACGGTGAAAGTGGCAGGTACTGGAGTTATTTCCAGCCAATCACTGTTAGCATACAGTAATTTATCATATGCAACTAAGCTATCTCGCAACAAAGCGGTGTATCGATATAACCATCTCAATCACAGCAGAAGGATTCATTGTCCTCTCACTTCATCATCAAGTCGCTCTCGTAAGTCCAAGCAGCAATTGCTTTCGTACAAGAGTGCTAATTGGTATCGCCGCGTAAGGTACTCGCTTGTGTATTTGCATGCAGCTGACCTCGAAGTGGTAGAACATTTTTCCCTCCCGACTTACACCTCACAACCACCCCGACAACCAGCCGGTTTTCTTAGCCCCTGTCTTGCCCTCAGCTTTCCCCTCAGGCTTCACCTCCGTCTCATTTGTTCTGGTCTTGTATGCCCTGGGACTCTCAAAATCACTTGCCTTGCCATTCCAGATTCCAAGCTTCTTTGACTTGGCCCTGGCCTCGGCAGCTTTGTATGCCTCTTCAGCTCCTCCCCATTCGACTCCCGTTTTCGCTTCATATGTCGTTGCCAGCCCGAGCTTCAGCATCTCTAGCCCGACGTCCTTCTTGAACAGAAACGGTCTGACGTATACTGTCGCAACAACGCGTTCATATTGATCGCGCCTGTGAATCCGCGCCCAGACACGTTTGTTCTGTATGTAGCCTCTCAGCCATTGCAGCGCTTCTGTCGCACCTGGCTGCCCCGGCCGGCCAAAGTGTGCGCCCTCAGGAGCATCAATTCCAGCCATCCGTATCGGTATCTGTGATGAGTGTCAGCACTAGTTTCTCCTTCCGCTCAGGTTTGCACTTACTGTCTTTCCCTTGAGTGCGGCTCTGGTGTTAGGAACTTTCCTCAGCCAATCCCAGCCTGCCAGTCTGCCACCTGGTGTGTGGAACAGATGAAAGTTATCGCCATCTCCCACACTGGTCACTCGGCCTAGAAGAGTCCTCTTTCTAAAAAGCTCTGGCTGGATGTGGTTTGTTGTGGGAAACCTCCGCAGCCGGGTTTGATAGAACATGAAAGCTGCCAGCGATGCGACGGATGTCAGGAAAACGGGAGCCCACTCTCTAGCAGCCTGTAATGGCGGCGCAGGTTGTGGCAGCAGGTCGTTCCATGATGTTGGTAAGACTCGCGCATCATCTTCTGACTTGCTCGGGGTGGGCGGTTTCCCTGAGCTGGAAGAGCTGAACGGCCATGGCATTGTCGAGGACTCCTGGTGGAGTTCTGAACCTACACAGGTTCACCGGCGGTGAGATACAGACCGAGCGAATGTCTAGAGCTTCTGATCAGCTTATTAAGTTTGCGCAACCCATGAAAGAGAAGCCAAAATCCGGGAGGGTCTTGATCGCAACATCCTTGACTCCGAGAATGTTAGGCATTGATGTCCAATGCAAACGCAATGCAAGTTGAATTGAGAAAACAGTTGCTTACCTCGTTTGATACCGGCTGCAGCTTGAGACTAGTTTGTGAGAGAGCTGCAACTCAATTGAATCCACATCCATGTAGCATAAGCCGTGTGCGATACAGTACGTACTGTATCAAAGACACTGTTGCGCACCTTCAAGGGCTGCGGCAAAACCGTGCTCCGCTGAGCCAATCAGCGAAGGCCCATTTTGAATCGATGCGTTCGAGCTTTCGGGACATGACGGCCACACTACACACTTTCGAAGGCGAATCCCCTCTATCCAACCTAGCCGGCCCCTAGCCATTGGCATAATAAAGGAGGCTCAATTGGAGGCAGCATATCTCCTTGACCTCTTTTGCAGCCGTCTCTCCACTCTACAATCGCCATGTCAGGCCTCTACCGACTTGCTGGCCACAGCGCCAAGAGGTTATGTCTGCGCCCGGCAGCAGTCACCTCCTTCGCCGCCCGACCGTTCTCGACGACCTCCCTGCGCCGATACGCCGATGCCGCCCCCGAATACCAAGGAACGCGCCTCACACCTGTCTCGACCGACTTCTCCCGCGCCGAGGACCACTACAGCTTGACGCCGCCGAAGGACCAGGACACGACACCTGAGGAGTCTGTCGAGGACCGAAAGATCCGCCACTACACCGTCAACTTCGGTCCCCAGCATCCCGCCGCCCACGGTGTGTTGCGTCTGATTCTCGAGCTCAATGGCGAAGAGATCATCAGAGCCGACCCTCACGTCGGCCTGCTTCACAGAGGTACAGAGAAGCTTTGCGAGTACAAGACGTACCTCCAGGCCCTCCCCTACTTCGACCGTCTCGACTACGTTTCCATGATGACGAACGAGCAATGTTTCGCCCTTGCCGTTGAGAAACTTCTCAACGTCGAGATCCCCGAGCGCGCCAAGTGGATTCGTACCATGTTCGGCGAGATCACCCGTATCCTGAACCACCTCATGTCCGTTCTGTCACACGCTATGGATGTTGGTGCTTTGACGCCTTTCCTGTGGGGTTTCGAGGAGCGTGAGAAGCTCATGGTAAGTCGGGAGAAATGACGAAGCCGATTGTGCGATTTCCGGCTAACCCGCGTGTCTGTCAGGAATTCTACGAGCGTGTCTCCGGTGCCCGTCTCCACGCCGCCTATGTTCGTCCCGGTGGTGTCCACCAGGACATTCCAGTCGGTCTTCTCGACGACATCTACCAATGGGCTACCCAGTTCGGTGACCGCATTGACGAGACCGAGGAGATGTTGACGGACAACCGTATCTGGATCCAGCGTCTTCAGGGCGTTGGTGTGGTCTCTGCCGCTGAGGCTCTCAACCTGTCGTTCACCGGTGTTATGCTGCGTGGTTCCGGTGTCCCCTGGGATATCCGCAAGAGCCAGCCTTACGATGCCTACGGCGAGGTTGAGTTCGACGTGCCCGTCGGTGTCCGCGGTGACTGCTACGACAGATACCTTTGCCGTATGGAGGAGTTCAGACAGTCCCTGCGCATCATCCACCAGTGCCTCAACAAGATGCCCGCTGGCCCCGTCCGCGTCGAGGACTACAAGATCTCGCCCCCTCCCCGTGCTGCCATGAAGGAGAACATGGAGGCCCTTATCCACCACTTCCTTCTCTACACCAAGGGTTACACTGTCCCCCCTGGTGAGACCTACTCCGCCATCGAGGCCCCGAAGGGTGAGATGGGTGTCTTCGTCGTCAGTGACGGCAGCGAGAGACCCTACCGTGTCCACATCAGAGCCCCTGGTTTCGCTCACTTGGGCGGTTTCGACCACGTTTCCAAGGGCCACATGCTTGCTGATGCTGTGGCGGTTATCGGTACTATGGATTTGGTGTTCGGTGAGTTCATTCCTTTTGATAATGCTTCAATAAAGCAGCTGCTAACTATTGCCCCAGGTGAGGTTGATCGGTAAAGGGTGTATCAGAGGATGGATATCAAAATGACTGAGGAACTTCTTTCCTTTTGTGTACTTGTAGAGTGAAGAGACAGAGCGCCGACGTATATACCGCATTGTTCTCTTTTCTAGAAGAATTTCGTACAGACCATGGCATGCAAAATGTCTCTAGTCTACGTTCACTGAATAAGCGTATCTATGAAAACTTCGGCCAGGTGTTTGGCATTGGCCATTGATTTGATATTTAGACTAAAGATACAAATGGCCTAACTACGCAGACCAGGCTTTTTTAGGTTGATAGTACAGCTTTTTGGGGTTGGAATACATAGAGTACAACTCTAGAAGAGCTTGGCGCCAGTGGTTGAGGCTTGGTCCATGAAGAACTTCTTCAAGGGGCCGAGAGCATTCACCGCGCTAAGACCAAGAGATCGCAATGGGACAAGAGGCCCGCTCTCCACAGAGTATAGCTTGTGAAGTTTGTCGCATACGCCTAGTACAATATGATTCGCAACGTAGCGCTCCGCATTGTACGCCTCGAGGGAAAGTGTCGTTCCCAAGTCCTGGCCAGTAGAAACGGCTGTCTCAATGGTCTTGACCAAGCTTTGGACGTCCCCTTGACCCTGGTTCAGGCCTTGCCCAGCCAGGGGGTGGATGGTGTGTGCCGCGTCGCCAACGAGGGCAATACGCTCGGCGGTATAAGTGTCTGCGTGCCGCATCTTGAGCGGGAAAGAGGCAACGGTGCCCTCCTGAACTCCAACGACCTGCTGAGGAATCGCCCGGTGATCGAAAGGAGTATGCTCGAGTCTCCAGGCAAGCTCCTCAGACTGACCAGATTCCTGCTTGTGCATAAACTCCAGGTCGACGGGGCTTAGTCGGAAGGCAGCGTTGACCATGGAGATGAAGTCTTTAGGCGACAGGCTTTTCAGAAGTGCGGCGTTGGCAGGTGTTGTTGACCACACCAGCGTCGAGTAGTTCCCAGGCATCGGCAACATTGCCACAGGGCCAGTAGGCAAGAAGCGCTGGTACGCGATCTTGTTGTGTTCCCCGCCCCATCCCTCGCCCTCCAGCTGGAGCGTCGCAACAACGCCATGTCTGCCGTAGTCCCAGCCCTGCGCCTTGATACCGGCAAAGGTCCTCACTGGGCTGTTTGCGCCGTCAGCTCCGACCAGCAGTCTTGCGTGGAGCTGCTTTCCGCCTGACAAGTGCACAACAGGCCACTGCGTCAAGTCCAGGTCCTCCGTTTCCTCTCCGAAGCTGATGTTCTCGACCTTTGCGTTGTCGAATACCGAGACTCCGCCAAGCTCCTCCAGACGGCTCAAGAGACCGGAGGTCAAGTTAAGGTTCTCGCACATGTATGCGATTGTCTTGCCCGGCGCCGAACCAGCCGGCCAGTCGAATTCGATTCTCGCGCCACTAACACCGTCCCAAACCTGCATTTCATTGTAGTCTTGAACGCGATCGCGCCTGATGTGGCTCCAGGCTCCAATTGTGTTGAGATATTGTGCTGAGGTCGGGGTGAGGGAGCTGCATCGATTCGAGAACTTGTCGGCCGGGAGGTTCCACGCGCGAATCTTGGAGAGATCTTGAGCTTCGACGAGTGCTACTCTGAGACGGGATGTGACTGGGTTAGCCCCTAGAACATGTTAGTCTCTCTCTATGTACCCATGAAATTGCGACTGTAGCATACGAAGAGCGCTCAGAAGACTCAAGCCTGCCGGTCCACCTCCCACGCAAACGACATCATAGATGTCTGGCTCGGATGCTGAAGATGTTGCGCCTACACTCGCATAGGACCGGCGAGCCTGGGTCTGAATTTTACGTGTGCAAGACCTGCAGACCGACCGGTTTGTGGCCAAGAGGACTCTGGTGGTCGCCATTCTGTCTGAGCCGTCAAGAGGCGGGTTCTTGAGGGGCTCGCTGCGATTGGTATCACATGGAACGAACCATCAGTCGAAATGATGGTCGAGCTCGAAATAATTCGCCACACCCAGCCACATTTCTGTTCGAGCTTGAATGTGGCTGAGGCAGGACCCCTCGAGTCCGTGCTTGCTCTTACCCCCCTGCTCTTACCTCGGAGTCTGGAAGGACTGGAAACTTTGGAAAGGTCATCCCCTGTCACTTCCCTAGTCGTCCCCCACACTAGTTGTTTTTTCCACATGACCTTTGCTGTTGCCACAGCACCCAGAAGCGACAGGATGCTCCTACTTGTTGCGTCAGTGGGCTCCCGCCCGTGTCTTTCATCCATCCCGTCCGACGTTATCAACATCTGTCCACTGGGCGCATCCTTTGCACAACTTGCACCTTACACCCCATCGCTCAGACCTGTGCACCTGCCACGGCCGCAGAAAGCAAGGCCCAAATCCTCTGTGCGACTGCATTTTGTATGCGCCAGTCACTCATTCCTTGCCTGCTCTATCCCTCAAGGTTTCATACTGCAGGGCTTCAAAGGCTGCCTTGTGAGCTTCCTTTGACGTCTTGTCGCAAAGTGTCCAAGCTCTGATACCGTCATTCAGCACCAACCTTTCTTTGATCGCAACTCCTGAGTTTCTTTGCTTATACTCTCTGCTTTCTTTGCAAACAACCAATTTTCGACGGCATCTCCAACTGCTTCAACATGGACGACTACGAATACCTTCAGCCTGGGTTCGACCCCAAGTCGCTGACAGTTCCTCGGCTCCGCTCGATCCTCGTCGCACACGACATCCAGTACCCCGCAACAGCCAAGAAGCCCCAGCTCATCCAGCTGTTCGAAGAGCAGGTTGTGCCTCAAGCCAAAAAGATTTTGGCGAAACAAGCCAAGGCCAAAAGATCAAGCTACGGCATTGTCGACGCTGGGAGCTCTCAGGACACTGACGACTTCGATAACGACTACGACCTTGCTCCTCCCCCGCCGAGGGTGACGAGATCGAGATCGCCGCGGAAAGCATCTGCTCGGATCAGAAGCGAGGAATATGAGCAAGAAGTGCCGGCTCCAGTCAGCCCGACGAAACGGAAGGTCCGAGCTGCGAGCCGACAATTGCCAGAGCCTGAACCTGAACCTTATGTCGAGCCTTACACCGAGCCTGAGCCGCCCAAGTCTGTTCGCAAGCGAGCTGTCACTCCCAAGATTCCGAAGATCAAGCAGGAAGAGTCCGAGGAGGATTTCTTCAACCGTAGGGAGTCACAGTACTTCTCTACAGAGAACCCTTTCCAGAGTGGGAGCCCAGCAACGCATCTCATCACTAGCCCCAACGGACGAAGGAAGACCACTGGCCTAGATTTCGCAAATGGCAAACTTGAAAGTAGCCCTCGTCGACGAACGGATGGCCATTACGCCGAGGATCGCCCCAAATCGTCGAGAAAGTCCCATGCATTCGAGGTTCCTGTCAGCGATCTTCTTCGCGAGCAAACACCCGAACCCCAAGAGTTTGAGGTTGAGGCTGGGGAAGAGTTTACCCCTGATGCACAGTTCGAGATGGAACAAGAGATGGCTGCCGGTGGTGAAAGAGCCCTAGCCCCGCGGCCTGCGTCGCCTCCTCGTCCGAGACGTAGTCTCGCCAAACCTCTTTGGGCTCTTGCGATCTCCCTCTTCGGAGCGTACGGTGCGTGGTACCGACAGGAGAAGGTTGCTGTTGGCTACTGCGGACTCGGTCGACCTGCCACGCAAATCATTCCTCCTGAGGTCACAGTTCCCGATTGGGCAGTGCAGCTTGCAGAGCCCCAGTGCGAGCCTTGCCCACAGCACGCTTACTGCTACGAAGATTTCACTGTTCGCTGCGAGCCTGACTTTATTTTGAAGCCTCACCCTCTGGCTTTGGGCGGGTTGGTTCCACTTCCACCCACATGTGAGCCGGATGGCGAAAAGGTCAGAAGAGTGAAGGCTGTAGCGGACAAGGCGGTCGAGGAACTTAGAGAGCGTCGCGCGCAATTTGAATGTGGAGATTCTACTGTAGATGCTGGTCAGGCGCCAGCGTCTCCATCCATCGCAGAGGAGGAGCTGAAGGCCGCGATTAGTGCAAAGCGGAGCAAGAAGATGAACAAGCAGGAGTTTGACGACCTTTGGGTCGCCGCGATCGGAGAAGTCAAGGGTAGAGAGGAAGTCGAAGTGGCACCGTAAGTTCTTATCCTTTTTTTTTTTTGTCAGAGTCATGTCCGGAATCCCCTTTCGCGCTTATATCAATATCGTCAAATCACCATTCTGACCAGTGGACTAACCAGATCGGATGTGCCCGAAGTAGAAAGGCCAATTCCACCTCAATTTCAGACGCCTACCTCTCGTCTACCTCTCTCGCTCGGTTACCGATCGGCTGCACCCTCAAGCGCTCAGTCAGACTCGGCCTGGCAAGACATCGACTCTCAATTGGATCTGTGATTCTGTTGATTTCAGCTTACTTTTACGTCCGGCGGAAGTACAGGTCTCACAAGGCGACTGTGGCGCAGGTTCCTGCGTTGGTAGACCTTGTTTTATCAAGATTGGCAACACAAAAGGAGCTTGGCGAGGAAGACATTGATGACCCTTGGCTCTTCCTCCCGAACCTCCGCGACGACGTGCTCCGCTCGGTCCACTCGCTCGGAGAGAGAGACCGAATTTGGATAAAGGTCAAGGCGGTAGTTGAGCAAAACAGCAACGTGCGGACCAGCCAGAGAGAGGGAAGGAGCGGCGAAGTTGGTCGCGCGTGGGAGTGGATTGGACCGATTGCAGGGGACAGTGCCAGACGGCGCAAGAGCGGACGTATTTCCTATGGAGCGGATGTCAAGACAGAAGATACCCCGGGGACGTCAGAGGACAAGGCTGCTGCTCATTCAAAATGGGATGAGCCGCGACCTATCTATTGAGCTGTGTGTGCGTGTCGATGGAGATGCACTGTCGACCAGTCATCATACTTTTCCTAGGCGCCATCACGCGTAATAATTTTCTTTGTTAGAACGGATTTGACGCAACGGGGAGGCTCTGGTGATTTTCCCCCTCTCAACACCTTGCTCATGAGCTAGGACGGAAAGGCGTTCAGGAATGCTGTACAGAGTACGGATATCAGGGACAGAATCAGGGTTTCGTAGGATGACACGGTGATGGTTTTCATACTCCGAGATTGAACATACTTCTTACCTTTTTCATGATTATTCTGATGCGTTGTGATTTTATTAATATGATTGCTGGCCAATTTCGCGTGTGGAAGTGTTTGGTCAATTGGTTGCCATCACGTTTGGAGTTGTTGCTATGCTCGGGCGGAGGATATCGGAGCGATCGGATTTGCGAGCGGAGGTGGTGGTGCAGCCAACAACAACGGTTAAGGACACCCGGGGAGACGAAAAAAAGCCTTGGCGTTCAACACGCCATCCTAGATAGCTCTATAGGAACCTCAAATAAATCGTTGAAGATTGTTGAATCAATTGTCGAGTAAAATAAGCTTTTTTCCTAATTAAACACTTACGCGACACATGGGCGGGTGATGGTCCAGTTTCGTTCTTCTTTCAAGTTCTTGAATTTGGCTAATGCACAGGGTGTTTATTGACACGCAAGGGGAACAGGACCCCTTGGACAAAGGAAAGCTTCTCGCTCAGACTCTAGTAAGGGTGGGGAATCTATTGGGCCTTGGAGGAGACGATCTCTGTTGCGAAGGGAATGAATGTTAGCAAGAAGGACTTGATTGATGGCTTGGGTAGAGATCCCCGGGGAGAGGACCATCCGATGACGGAGGTTTTTGGTGAAGGAAAATTGAGCACGTACTCTCGACATCAGCAATGCTCTGCTGGAGGATCTGCTGGAGGACCTTGGGGTTCTCAAGCTCCTTGGTGACCTTGGCGATGATGGTCTCGGCGAGCTCCTTCTGCTGGCGAGCCTTGACCTGGCCCTCGTAGCGGACCCAGGAGTCGAGGACGGCCTTGGCCTCGGCGGCCAGGGCGGTCTTCTGCTGGTGCTCGTAGGCCTGAGCCTCAAGCTGGGCAGTCTCCTATTGAACGAACGTGTCAGCTGCTGCTCTGTAATGACTCTTTTAATGGTGCACTCCAGCTGTGCCTAACTATTCCATCCGACCGAGCTTGTTCCGACATATCCTCCTCTTCCATCGATTACATCATAAAGAGTCGTACCTTGGAAACGGCGAAGAGGGACTTGGTGATGTCAACGACGCCGGACATCTGCTGGACGTCCTCGATGCGTCCCTTGACGGCCTGGGTGTGGTCGGCACGGGCGGAGTTGAGGATGCCCTTGATCTTGTCGGCCTGGCCCTGAGCCCACTCGCTGTACATCGGGCCTCCGTACTTGATCAGACCGCCCCAGACGGCGAGCAGGCAGAAGGCGACGACAGTCTCCTCGTTGACGACATAGTACTCGTTGCTGATGGCGTAGACGCTGAGGGCGGCGGACGAGGAGAGGATGGCGGTCTTGGAGAGGAGCGAGTTGCCGGGGAGGGCGTCGACGATGGACTGGGCCTTCTTCTTGGGGTCCTCGGCGGGAACGTTGGAGGCGTTGCGGGCACCGGCGATCGAGGCCGAGATGGCGGGCAGAGTGCGGCGGGCCAGGGTCGGCCTGAGGAGGTTCGCGCCTGTTCGAGAAGGGAGGGGAGAGCCTGCGCGTTAGCCACCACGTTCACGTTTGTCTGCTGTCGTCGAGCAAGCCAATTGACACGCCGAAGCTTCGAGGGATGTGTCTGGACGTACCGACAGCGCTTCGAGCCAAGCGGGACGCCATTGTGTGATGATTGGGGGGGTTGCGGGTATTATGGGTTTGAGGTCATTCGGAGCTGCTCGAGGTGAGGTTAGATTTTGTCTACGGGTACCGCTTACTCCCGAGACGGCTATGATTTTATCACGTGATGTGGCGGAAGCAGTGGCTGCGGGAATTTGGGGGGAGACTTGGGACAGGACGACCGACCGGCGCTTGGGCTTCCAAGTCCCA